CAGTTATTGTGAAAGTTGCCAAATTTATTATATACTCTTGTAAAGTTGATGAATTTTTATTTTAACCAGTATTTCTCGTTTTAAGGATATGAATAAATTGTTGGCTATTTTGTGCTCTTTTCTTAACATATGGTGTGAAGATGCTGCTAATAAAATTTAAATTAGATTTGTGTAAAGTAAAAAAAAAGAAGTTCGAAGCTTTTATACTTTTGTAAAGTGAAAAGGGTAGTAATTTCACTGAAAACAGTTTCTGGTGAAACGATCTATGTATCGTCGATGTTTTTGCGAAACCGCCCATCGACCAGTTGCATCGAGGTTTATGCATAAAAATCGTTAAATCGTTATTAAAACAATAGATTTTGTAAAATACTAGTTAGAGAAAATACCGCCTATCAAGGCAATGCCTTCAAAAAATAAGCCTGTAAAAATTGAGTGTCGTAGGCGGTTTTGCAATTATTACTTAACAATAAATTTTGTGTTGTCTCACATTGACCAACATCAATAGTTAAGGGTTAACATCCAATGCTAAATTTTAACGAAAAATAAACGAAACAACACTTTTATTTACAGCCTCTGATTTCCCCGAGCTGCATACATAGCTTACCATAAACAATGCCTTATAAATAATAAAACGCATTTCCTTAATGTCTGCTCAAGGTATGTATAGTATGTATTTAATGTCCTCTTATTAAGTTAATTTTTTAGCTTCCAATCAATGAATTGTCTTCTACATAAACATGTACATATGTATATACGTCACATATGTAAATAAAACAATAATATGGAATAAATTTACATGTATTTATATAGGTTTAACAATTAGAAATAAAAATGCGAACACTTTTAGGTTTTTAACGAACCCACTTAGTATTTCTTGGAAAACAGTTTTTTTTAATATTTCAACGTAATTTAAGGTTATTGAACATGTACATCATGTATGTATATATAAACATACATATGTATGTACGTGAGAGGATTTGCTGATAACAAATTAGGCTAAATTAGATTGAGCTATTTATACTAAATTATAAGTATGCGTGTATGTATATATATGGAGAAGCATATTTGCAATTAGGTATGTTTGCATTTAATAAGTATTTTTGTTTGATACATATGTATGTAATTAATAATTTAAAGATAAGGCATGCCTCCAACACGCTTATAATCATTTTCGGACGATTATGATAATTGTTCAGTGTTATACATATGTATGTACATATGTATGTAAGTATATTTGATGTAAATATTTTTGTAGCTTAATACACTTGCAAGGTGAATATGTATGTACATTAGACTGCATCACTCCCCATACAAAAACAAAAAATCGGTACTATTTTTCCATTGGAATTATAATATCTATTATATTTTAAGACGTCCACCAAAATATTTCGGAAAAATATTAAGATTTAAGTGAGCTGGACCGATTTGAAAATACCTCCAAAAATGGAGTTTTTTATGAATAAAAATAGAAATCCCCTCTAATGACAAAACGGTTTAAACTTAAAATATTTACATAAAAATATTTTAAAAAACTAAAAAAAATTTTGAACGGAATCGTAATGATGAGATTTTTGATGCTGTTTTTTAACTTTTTTCAAATATTGGTATAGGAAAAACTTGAATAACTGAACCTAAACTCTTCCGATTTAGACTTAAGAGCTGTCATTGGAAAGGTATTTTCTCACCCTTTTTATTTCTTTGCTAATAAACTCATTCAAAGGATGGATGAGAAAGGTAGGATGAACGAACGTCATTCAAAGTTGAATTGAGATGTGTTGGTATTCGAAAAAACAAGATGGGACGCGAATGACGTTTTTTGGCCAGAAATAGAAACAGTGTGAAAATACCTTTCTACTGAGATCCCATAAGTCTAAATCGGAGCATTTTTGGCCCAGTTATTCAAGTTTTTCGTAAACCAATCTTTGAAAAAAGTAAAAAAAACAGCATCAAAAATCTTATTCTTAGATATGATTCCGTTGAAAAGATGTTTAAATATTTTTATGCAGATTTTTTAAGCTTAATCTGATTTGTCATCTGAGGGGACTTTTTCCAAAAAGTTCTTTAAGAAACTATTTTTATTCATAAAAAACTTCATTTTTTGAGGTATTTTCAAATCGGTCCAGTTCGCTTAAATCTTGATATTTTTCCGAAATTTTTTCGCGGACGTCTTAAAATATAATAAATTTTGTAATCCCGGCGGAAAAACCGCAACTTTTTTTGGTGATGCAGTCTAATGTACATACATATATATGTTAGCATGGAGATTTTTGAATGTAACTGCATTTAATTTTGCTTTATAGTGTATCTACTGTACTATATGTATGTACTTGTATGCATGCATGTATGTAAAATACATAGATTAGCAACAAAAGTTTGCATATATGCTTTTTGCAAATTTGTTGCACATACACATTTTGTTGTAAATCTCTTTAGGCAAGAGTAATTATTTGATTATATAAATCTTGTAATTTTCCGGTTTCTTGAAGTGTACACATACATGTGCAAGCCCTTAGCACTAAACTAATACTTTTTTACTTTTATGTATTGTTATTCTTTTTTTCTACATATACATTTTTAATATCAGAATAATATATAGTCATTTTTTTTTAGCTTACTAAAATTACTTATGTACCTATTATATGATATTTTTTATGTCTAAATATATGTAGATACATAATATGTGTGTTGTTGTTATTGTATATTGCAAGTATAATAAATGTGTTTCTAAATTAAGGTAAATTCAAAATTTCAAAAAAGGTGTACATATATTTCGGTAGTGTAAATAGAACTGATGTGCGTTGTATATGTATGTATTTAAGTTATTACAAAATTTTTATTTATTTATGTATTTAGAGAACTAATAATTACAAATATTTATGCCACAAAGTGTTATCTGAGCCAAGTTTCTTGCTGCTTTATTAAAAAAATGTTTAAAAATAAGTCAACGTTTGAGGTGAATATTTATTTTTGCCATCCATTTCCTTATATTTTTTATTATTCGGAAATAATGCTATTGTCAACTTATACAGTATTTGTACCGTTCATAAAAATCAAGAGCTGTATGTTTATTACCGCCGCAAATTGGGATATAAGGCATTGGTCTTAACTTTTCTTGATATTCTTTAAAACTGCTGTAAAGTACTTTCAACACCAGATGCTGTTAAAGTCGGGGCAAACTTTTCTTCCTTTTTTATAGTTGTATATATTTGCATATTTTTAAATTACAAGTCACTTTAATGCTGATTTAATTGGTTCATAATATTATTCCTTTTGAATGAAAATCAACTGCAAATTAGTTACAATATTGGTAGTGCTTTTATGGAAAATAATATGACTGCAAATAATTTTTTTTATTTACATTGCATTAAAAGTACCATTTTTTTCGGTATTCAGTGGCAGGCTGTATATCTCATGTTTGTCAGGTAGGTAGATACATATGTTATCACCTCTGAAAAAAATTGTGAACATATATGACCACGCCAGTCGTGAAAGACAGCATAATAATAATAAGTTACAAGAAATCATACCTGTGCGTTTGATCATCACTTATGGTGATTTCGCCTTTGATTGCCTCTTTCTCTTTTCGTGTTTGATTCTAAACTAAAGGCAAAGGGTGAAACAATTTTGTAGTCGTTTCAAAGAACCTGTTTTTAATCGCAGAAATACAATCGGAGGTTTGCCATTGCCTGCCGAGGGACGACCGCTGTTAAGAAAACCCCCTTTTCTATATTTTTTTGCAATGTTGCTTTGACCAGGGCTTGAACCCAGGCATTGCGGAGTGGAAGCGCACATTGCTTACCACCACACCACAGCGCCCGACGCTCTAACATAAATATAAATACGAAAAATGAGTTCAGGTATAGCAGTGTAAAATATATATGATTGTGACAATTAGAGTTTTAGCGCGCTTGATTTGATGTTCATCCCACTGTGCGCCCATTGATCAGCGTAAGCTCCATCAGCCTATCAGAAGCGCCATAACAATATGGCTTCTGCCAGGAATTAAGGACCCATTGGAAATGCAAGAAAGATTTACTGATACCAGTGGATTTGCTAACAACTGATTTGAAAGCTTTACACCTTTAAACGTTTATTCCAAGCGCTAATTTGGCACAGCTGTAAAATCGTTTGGTAACTTCTAAATGTACCTTATAAAACATCGTCTGAGGCCAACTGCATAATACATACTTCTATAACCGGTGTGGGTGAATTCCGCTGTTAAACATCGATAAAGTAATAACAATAATAATAATAATAATAATAATAATAATAATAATAATAATAATATTAATAATAATAATATAAGTTGTTGTTATAGTTGTAACCCCTTAGCACAAAGCTAAAAAGAAATCGAAAAAAGAAAGGATAAATGTATGCATAAAAAAAATATATGTATTTTCAAATGGAACCGAAACCTGAGCTATGAACTCCCACTGATAAAATTCCATGTAGGAAAACCACCTGTCTTAAAATATCTTACAGCTGGCTAAAAAACATATGTGCGTATGTTAGGGTGGGTAATTTTTTTTTTACTATGCGTGTATATCATAGGAGGATTCTACATGGAATTCTAAGCAAATTTACGGAAGAAACCGTGGGTCTAAAATAAATTTGGAGTTTGCCAAATTACGAAAATAGGTTTGGAAGAAAATATGAAAATTAAAATTTTTCACCCTCTGGTGAAAGTTTTGAGAACAAAATAAGTACAGTAATGGATTCCTCATACCAAAAAGCCCTTCCAGCATGTTTTTATACAAAATTTAAACACTTCTTTACGACACTACGACAAATGCTAAGGAACCTATTTTCGCAATTTGGTAAACTCGAAATTGATTTTAGACCCATGGTTTCTTCTGCAAACTTGCTAAGAATTATACGTATGTACATAGAATCCTCCTATGTTATACACCTGTAGACGAAAAAATCTCCCATACAAATTGACCCGCCCTTATATATGTAGGTATACTATTTGTATGGCCATTTCTTTCTCTACGTTTTTGAAACTCTAATACTCTTAACTCAATTGGAAATAGTAATTGGCATGAATAGGCTATGAGGAAAAGTATAAAAGCAGAGTCTGCAAAGCTCGTAGCTCTGTTACAAATTAGAAATAAATCAAGAACACTCTACATACACATCATCTCAAAACTAAGTCATCGGGCTTTAAATTTTATTCACATCATTTCTTTAATGCGTAAAATATTGGTATGTGTATTAACGGTTTTTATATAGAGGCTTGTGAGTTTTGCGTGACAGATGTATTCTGTTTGAAAGGTCAAACGCAATTTTTAACTAGTATACTCATAATAACTTATTTCATTTGCACGCATACCGTGAAGGACCGCTTTCGAACAAATTCGAAATCTTGCAATTTTGGGAAGTACTCTCACATTATGTTACATGCATCGTCTCAATGGGATTCCACAATTCGGGTTGATTTAAGACAAATTAAAAGTGAATTTCCCCGAGGCGCATTTTCAACCCTCAATTTCAATTTGAAATTATAGCTGTTTACATGATCATCTTAATTTCGGTTTGTTTTTGTTTAATATTTTGTGTTTTATGCTTTGTTTTTTTTTTTATTTGTTTGTTATTGAAGTTTGTTTTTCTTCTTTTCGCTCATTAATATTTCGAAATAAATACTCTGTACAGTTGCATTCGCGAAATTGTGGTAATTTCGTTTCAATGTCACTGAAATTGAGATTCATACTAGATTTCAGGTGACAGGTTATTGTAAAGCCAATTTGCGAATCGTATCGTCATTTCAGCTGAAATTGAGAACAGTGTTGAAATTGCGCAACATGGGCGTCGTGGAAACTGCCTATAAGTAAAGTTTTTTAAAACTTGGCCGACAGATTACAAATTGGGCTTTTGTGTATTTACTTTTAAATATAAATTCTACAAAATTTAAAAATATCAGCTGTTGAGAAATTCTTTCAAAAATGTTTCTAAACATCATATGTGTATGTACATATGTTTTTATTTACGTACTTATGTATGTATACGTAAGTAATAGTAATTCTAATATGAATCTCAGGCATTACAAGCTAATTACAATACATTCGCGCTCAGACTATAGTAACTGTTGGATAGAAATTGCCATTGCTGCCATTAGACGTTTGATAGACTTGCAGTGGGTTTTGCTGTTGTTGTTGCTGCTGCTGCTGCTGCTGCTGCTGATAAACAATTTTGCTTGCATGTTGCACATGTGTTTGCTGCTGTTGTTCCGTCTGTGCCAGTGCCTGCTGCGTATGCAGATGCTGTGTATGATGATTTTGGTTGGACTGACACGTCGCTAGCTTTTGTTCGCCATTACCCAAACGGACACCAACACCGACACCAATGCCATTGTAGCCACTCTGCTTGACATTCCTAACACCCTCAATTGCTTTTGCCTCGTAATTATTGCTATTACCATTCGCATATCCATTGCTGCCACACGAACCTGCTGACCCACCATTGCACAAGCCATTGTTGTTTTTGTATACTTTCGAAAGGCCATTCGTACGACTATTACACATCCCAACACTACTACGAGTACCGTTACCACTAATTTTTCCGCCCGCTGCTTCACACTTCACACTGACTTTGTCACTGCCATTGCTTATTGCCGTATTGTTGCTGCCATTACTTTGAGTAGCAGCAGTCTTGCCATTGCCAACAGCATTCCATTGCCATTGCTTCAATGGTTCGCCGATTAGTGTAATTTTCACGGGCTTGTAAATGTTTGCGGTTGGCGCGTGTTTTCCTGTGCCAGCGGCTGATGTCTGGGTCAGCGTAGCGGCTGTTGTGGGTGCTGTCGCTGTTGGCTTTTCCCACGCGATTGAAGCACGTCGCGGTGCCATTGCCAACTGTTGATTGTTGTAATTGCTCAGAGTGGTCGATATGATGGTGTGACGTCGTATTTGTTGAGATGCTGCTTCTGTAGCGGCAACTGGGAGATTATTATTGCTGCCATTGCAGTTGTGTTGCAGTTGTTGTTGGTGGTGTGGACAAAGAGTGTGGTTGTTGCTGTTGTTGGCGCTGCTGCATATGCTGTTGTTATTGCAACTAGCTGCGGGATGATAATGCGTCGTGTAGCTGGTGTACTCGGGTTTACTTCTATGTGATTTTCAATGATGGCAAGCGCACACAATGTTGGGGGGGCCAAAAAGAAATGAATAGAGAAGTAGAGATTAGAATGGCGTTATGTTGTTTTATTTACAGTACAATTCGATGTCGTGCAATTTCGTAAACTTATGAAGTGATTTTGGTATTAGTATGAATATAGTGGTATGTATGTATGTATGTATGTGTGTACATATAACTAATCGCATGCTTTTTTTCTAATTTTCGTTTGCACAATTGAATGCTATCATTGACTAACTCAAAAACTTTTCTACAGATGTACCTTTTATAGTATGTTAATAAAATGGTCTAAATGCATGTGAAGAAGGAAAATCCGAATTTCTATGCTCTCACCCCATGTTCCATATTTTAAAAAAATATACCCCGGTTTTTGAATTTGAGATTAAAAATTATTTAGAGGTCGCTCAACCTGCTCAGAGTTTTCCATGTATTTTATATGGAAAAAACAGCTTTTTGTAGAACTTGTATAGAATTATTAAAATCAATATTTTTCGATCGGAAAACTTTGGTTTAATAAACAATTGGGTTTGTTATTCAAAGTCTCCTGAAGAGAAACAAAGTTTTCCGATCGAAATTTTTTTTTCTGATTTTCAAGAAATCTATACCATTTCTACGAAAACTGGTTTTTCCCAAAAAAAATACGTGGAAAATTTTGAGCGACCTTTAAATAGTTTTTGATAAAAAAAACTATAAAAATGGGGTATAATTTTTTCAGTATAGAACAATCTTAGTGGGTGAGGGCCTTAATATTCCGACTTAGCTTTTTTGGACCACCCTAGTGTACACCCATGCGATGTACTTGGAAGAAGTCAAACAGAATTCTAAAGACTTAGGAGCGGCTAGACTCCCCATAAAATTATGATTTCCTTTAGGTAACTAGCCTTGCTCAGACACAGCTTTCAATCATCGAGGGTGTCTGTGTGGTAAATCCATTTTCCAAAGCACAGATATGTGCCGTGTGGCCTGGAAACTTTAATTTAGCGCTGCTATTTGTACTTTTCCAAACATTATTTCCTAATACTGAATTTTTCTCAGGTCGCCTCTCAGGCTAAGGTGGCGATTTCGGTTAGCGCGATTTTTACTCGCACGGCGTCGCTTTGACACTGAAATGCCTACATTTGGTATACTGTGGTTTTGGAAAGTCACTCGTATATTAAGAAAGGGTTATAGCTTATATTCTTCTTCGTATTTCTTCTGTATTCTTTATTGGCGAGGAAACTGCGTAAGCGATTTAATTCTTTAAAGTTTCTCTACAACTCAGAATACTCTGAAAATATGGTTTGTAGGGCAGATAGTCCAATATACGTATATAGGTGTAAACACCCACTATCAAATTTTAGTGGCTCACACACTTGGTGCTGCATAAAAAGTTTTCGGTCGCTGTACGGTTCCATTTTAAGCGATTTACTAACATTTAATCAAATAATTTGGTAAGTGAGCAAACTAAGTACTTGTTTATCTGTCAATACAGGCCGTATGCAGGTCTTATGCTGCAATTGTTCGCATCTCAAAACTTTTGATGAATTAATTTTGAATACTTATATATATTATTTTTATAATATTCAGGTTTTTTGACTTAAAAAAAAAAAAGTTTTAAGCATTCAGTTGCGCAAATTCAATAAACCAAAATACTTTACCATAAAATGTTTCTTGTTATATTTTGTTAGTGACATGAAGGCATTACCTCACAAGTCTATTAAATTGCCGCATGCAATTAAAAAAGTTTCAACAGTTTTAAAGAATTTTTTGTGTGTTTCACATTTTTAATAATATATAGTTTTATTATCTAATTAGGATACTACGATCATTGCATTTATGTTAATAATTAAAAATAATTTGAAAGGCAATTTTTAAAATTTGTTATAAGATTCATAAATAAAATTGACAAAGCTATGGGGCTTGCTAATGTTAGCGGTCATTTCAAGCTATGTATACTCGTAAACCTATTTATGTACAATACTATAATATACAATATAATTTTTAATACATTTCAAAGTGTTATTTTCCATTTCAATTTAATTTGATTTACATTTTTCATTCCACTATTCTTGTAGAATGCGAAATTTTGGATATAAAAATGTTTTTACTTCACAAAATTTCAACATAGTAACAAGAAACGTCTTAGCACTTTTTGTTTATAATGCGAAAATCCTGCGTTTTAAAACAAATTAACGTTATTATAATAAATCTAAAGTGCTGAAGCTGGGCTTGCTTAAATTCCTCACTATGCTATACCGGATCAATCGTTTTTTCAGTAGTTTTAGTTTAAAGACTGGTCTTAAATTCCGCTTGAATTTGTTTCTAAATAAATAAATTATAATATCAATTACCATTTTTTTACATATATATATGTTGAATCTTATCAAAAATATTTGCGAGCAAACTGTAGATATTCTGTTATTCTTTTTAGCTTGTTTTCTTACTGAATATACATTAGGGCAGGTAAAATTTTTTCTCTACTTTGTTTCACCGACTGACGTATTCTACTGGCAATTCATGGAAACGTAGCTTTTAAGGGGTTTCGAGTCTGCTTATTTTTAATTTTTATTTATTATCTAATTCATAACCAATTTATTTTTTTTTAACTTACTTCAGTTCAATTAAATTGATGCGATAAGCAACATATTTTTGCAAAATGGGTATCAAACTAAGGTGGCTTAAGAAAGATTTATTTTCAAACAAAATTTTGAAGGGTGCCGCCACCTGTTTAGAAAATTTAATTAAAAAATTTTAAATGTTTCAATATGGGTTTCAAAACTAACTGATTCGTTACTTCGCCACGACACGAAATTAATGCGGACAGTGATAAATTCTTTCCTTTGAAAAATTCGTCTAACTGCTCGTGCGCAAAATCCATATACACACATTTCTTAAAAAAAAATTACAAAATATATCTAAAAAAAACTAATTGATTAGGAATTAACGACTAAAATTAGAAATAAGGGGGCTCGAAATCTGTTTAAGAGCTAAGTTTCAATGGACTATTTTAGTCAGAATTGCCAATAGAATACTTCAGTCGCCGAAGCAAAGTCGGTTATGTTTGTTAAGAACAAATCGACCCGCCCTAGTGTACATATTTTGTTTTAGTATTGCTAGTATTATGTACATACAATGTATGTATTTTTTTCTTATCAAAAATTTACAATCATATTTCGATTAAATTTTGTTAATTTCATTTATATTGTCTTTACTTTCATCCAAAAATAAGTCATACTTATTTCAAATTGCTTGTTAATTTTTTTTTTCTTAAGTGCTACTTTAATAAACATAGCTTACTTTGGTTTTAAATTAACTATAATAAAACTTAAAAAAAAAAAATATTTCATATAAGAGCAAAGACACTGTAATCGAAAAAAATGTAAGCGAAATTCTTTTCAACTATTCATCAGTGTGTCCTTGTAGTGAACAGCAATAACTAATTTGAATAACTCACTCAGTTTTTAACCGATGTTTGAAAATAAGCATTCGTTTTACTCGCTATTGAATAGTCTTGTGGTAAATTCAGAGTTAGTATAGCTGCTTCATAAAATAGTGTCAAAATGCATTGCCAAAATTTAATCAAGACGTACATCATTCGAGAGGTCTAATGATGATTTCGTTTTTACCAAAAAATGTCGCCTTTTAATTGCGCCTTACTCTTTTCGTTTTCAGTTATAAAATAAAGGCAAAGGGTGAGAAAATTTTGTGTTCGTTTCTTAAAATGTCACCCTATTGTAAGGCCAAAAAGCACATTCCATGCGCTTTGAAGCTTTGTCAGGGGTGATGGTTGCCCTGAAAATCAGATAGTTGCTTAAAACGACAATTTTATGAATTACGTGAGCTAACGGAAACGGACAAGTAGGCAAAAACATGCCCTTTTACAAGGTTGAGTGTAACATCTAACACATTTTACACCGGGAAAGGGCCATATTTTTTGGCAGAAAAGAAATCACAATACGGTAACCGGTGAGAAAAGGAACGTCGGTTGTTAGGGTTTTTAAGTGCGCAAAGGTATGCAAATCAAGCTTTTGGGGGTGTTCGGCCGATTTCATATTTCGATTCTTGTTTTGCTCGATAAGATCTTTATGAAAACAGCGCTTGCCGGGTACTTTGGAATGTATAATTTGTTGAATAAATAACTAATAATAAATTGAAATAATTCAAACAAAATAAACTTATACTTGGTGTTCATTTAATTTGTAAAGCTCATCTTTTTTTGTATACATATTTTTTTTTACTAAGTATTAACTCATTTTAATTTCCTTATATTTCTAAATAGGTAGCGACTAACAAATTAATTTGTGTTCTATTAGCTTTAAAGACAAGATGAACAATTGTCAATACATGAATAGGTTATATGTAGTATACAAATAATGTTAATGGCGCATAAAACCATAACAGCCATGATAAGATCACAAAACAGTACCTGTTCTTCGCCAAAGCGTAGTCTATAAGTTTTTACCAGTTGACACAATTCAGTAGAATGTTTTGGTGCGTTATTGTGTAATAATGTGCAAGTACGTGTGTATGCATGTGTTTGTGTGTGTATGTGTGCGTTAACATAATGCATATTTTTTATTTAAATATATTATTATTTTATTTTTTATAAATATAATAATTCCCGAAACCCATTTAAAAAAGGCAGCATGAAAGAGAAATTTATGAGATTAGCTATTTTTATGAAGCAATATACATACTTTTATAAGGAAGTGTGAAAGTAAGAAAAATGTTGGAAAAAATTGCATGTAAATAGTGCGAATATACATATACGCTCTGTAACTAAGTTCAGGTACATACATATCTATGAAAATAGGTTTACATAACTATTCAATGATGCATAGAAATTTTGAAATTAGAAAAAAATTAATTATTTCTGGAACGTAGCCTAACTGAAGTATGTACTACATAATTAAACAAGCACGTTAATTAATTTCCCTCTTCCCAACTCCTACAAACCATTGTATATTTTTATACTACATTCATTGGTTGTTAGTATTCTTTTTGTTTTTTTGTCTTTCTAATTTCACGAAATTTCGCAAAAACAAATTGCTTAAGGCAAAATTCGTTGTAGATAGTGAAAGAAACAAAAGATGTTCGTCGCAAGCAAATCGCTTACATTGCGCACACGTAAATGGAGCCAATTGGCCCAGCCATGGCGGTATGCAACTAGGCCGCGATAATAGTGATGATGCATGTAGTTGCTGCAGTTTGTGTTGTAGCATGTCAAAATATTGCACGAAAGCTGTCTGCAATTTGCAGCCAAACAACGCCAACTATGCAAATCGGCGCAACTGCGCGTGAAGCGCAACAACGTTGCACATGCAAATGCAACAAGCCGTTGCAAGGTGCTATCGATGCGACTAAGGCACGATCGCCAGCCATCATAGTCAACAGCTACACCAACACCAACACCGATGCCGCTTTGGCTACTTGGCGCTGTGATGCCGTTTAGGCAACCGATTACAATGCCACCGAAGTTGTCTTTGAAATGTTGCAATTTGCGGTGAATTATAGTGAAGAAGCGCCGTGCAGCTGCTGGAAAGGATGCGATTAGTATCTGACTGGAGGCAAAATGTTTTGTGGGTATTTTAGTTTTAAGATAATTGAAGTATTGTAAAGCTTTTCGCTTGCAATAACAAGCGAGTCGGAATAGTAGTGGGTTTTCGTGGTGTTGCATAGAGACGCTGTTGGGAGGAAATTCAGTAATAAATTTAGTTAAAGAAAATAAATTTGAGTTGTACTTAAGAACTAAGAATAAATTAAATAAAGAGAGATTAATTAAAATCGGTTTTGATATTTTTACAAATGGTATTAGAATAAACCTTACCTTGACAATCCCTCCGGACCATATGAATAAGGTCGTGTCTGTTGGCATATCAAAAAACACGGATGAAAAGAATTAACCAATAAAGATGAGATTTCATGAGAGTTTATTAAAAAAAAAAATTTAAAAAATAATTTCTTTTTATACCTATTGGATACATACCCTATCTGTTTGTGTTGCTGTATTTATGCATTCCTTTGTGGTGTCACTACTGATTTCCGGCCTTTTCAACTCCAAACATTCAATTTTATTTTTTTGTAAACGTATTGTGCGTTCACGATCTTCGACCTCACCCTAGTGTTGTTGCGTGATTGAAATTTTATACAAAAATATTTTAGAACTTCAGATAAGAAAACGTAGATATTTGTTAAGCTAATATTAAGAAAAAAAAACAATCATAACATAGTTTCAAAGTAAAAATTAGGCAAATAGTTACTGATGTGAATTATGTGAGTGAGATTGTTCGTACGGTTGTGTAAAAGGAGATTTTTTAATTGGTTTAAAAAAAAAATTAAGTTTTTTCCTCCTAACATCGGAAGCATTGGCAAAAATGCAGCTTGTGCCTAGGTTGTTAGGGGAAATCCCATACTGACAGCGGCACTTATCAGATACAAGGAGATTTCCTTAATCTGCTACAAAGTTTCTTGATTTATATATCTTTGAAGCCAGGCACCTATACCATATACATAACTATAAGTATGTGTGACATCCCTGTTTTCCAGCCCAGATTCTATGGGCTTTCTTTGCAACTTTGTTGATTGCCATTGGTTTCGGTATGTATCTTGTGAACTAGTGGAATTTTCTACAACTCGGTATCGCGCTAGTTAGCTAATGCGTTTTTGAACCGAATTCTGAGATAGGGCTTTGTTCAATCAAATTCTGTGGTAGGGCGTTTTTCAACCAAATTCTGAAATAGGGCGTTCTTGAAAAGTTTTCTGAGACAGGGCGTTTTCGAACTGGCTGCCAAGATAGGTCGATCGTCTGCTCAGGTGTCGATATGAAAATATCATTTCGTATTTCCATACTAAAGTCATCCATTTCACATAAGAAAAGCGTAACACACAAAAATATCTCTTAAACTCCAGTCGCTTACCAACTATTAATCAGGAGCAACTTACACAATCCATCATAAGCAGCAACTTACTGACTAATTATTAGTTGTAGAATTAACTTCATACTCTAATTTTTCTTCTCTTTCATCTCTTGCTTATAGTGATACCTTGCTATGCAAATAACTAAAATTCGAAACATATCCCATACAAAATGTATGAAAATATTAGGTGATACGAACGTAGAACTACTTTGCCTTTAAGAACTTCGGTACTCAAACCATGAAAAAGTCACCTTTATCATAAAATAAGTTTTATTAAAGGGTACGGTGTTCAAAAATATTAGCACAAGGCTATCATGAAATTTTATGATCGTAAGTAGTAATTTGGTTGTCAAGATATTCACAATTCGTACCACCTTTTTTTGTATTTACATAAGGGTTAAAGTTGAGATTTGTGTCTTATTCACAATGCTGTATGTGGGCTGCTTTGAATTCCAATATGGTGGCTACATAAATAGTAACTCCCTTCAAAACAGTGGCCGGATATGAAATCGGATTCCAAACAGGCACCGTTTTGTAGAAAAGTGTTGAACACTCTTTCTACCCGGCTAATAGACAATAATTAAAAGAAATGTTCGTACAGTTTTGTAAGTAAAATTGTGGTTTGTTTTTATAAATGCAATATTTAAATCAGTTTGTAATGAACTTTGCTGTCTAACTCCTGAATGATTCCCTTTATAAGGTTGTTACATCCTTGCCTAAAATATGTTTTCAAGGACTTTCTCACTTGGGTGTTTCACTTTTACAGCTAACGCAGACACTTTTGTAGGTAACCCCGCAAAGTTGTTGCAGACCAGTGGTTTTCTTAGCGTTGATAACTAACTCTTCCTTAAGAGAGTATGTTTGTCTGGAGCCAAGACTTTGCATGTTAGATGCTGTTCATTGTTGAAATAATCTGCAGATGCCATTATATTTATTAAAGATTATTTAAACCTAAAACATGAGAAGGAATTCAATAGCATCTCATTCAGATTTATCCAAGAGGTTTCCTAAAGGATACTAAACTCACAGGAATTTGTCCAACATTAATCACATTACCAGTAGCTTCTCAAAAAAATTCTCCTCTCCTTCACTGCACATCGAATACTTTTGCCACTGCATTCCGATAAAACTACGAATACATATTGCTCCATGTCTATGTAAATACGATAATGACCAGGCGTATTTGGTGCGTTAGTTTAAGGCATATACGAGTAAGTGTAAAAACATTTATTTACATGCTTTTTATGCAATTAAAAATTAGGTACAAGTATATATATGTTTTTACAAAAATAGATTACTAAAAGTGTAATTATGTTTTTTTACAGAAAAACGAATGGAATTCAAAATCTCAAAAAAACAAAAGAAATTAATTTAAGGAACTGAACATGACAGGAATCTGTTTAAACGCTATCTTGTCGCACGTACATACATATGTACATTTGTAAAAATTACCTTAGTTTTAATTAAATTATTGCAGTTAATGTATTGGAAGTCTTTATTTGGGCTATGTGAAAATGTTAAACTTTTACGGGAACTGACTAAAAGGATCTTAATCAGAAAGTTTTATAAAGTTTGTTTTTTTTTATTCAACTTTTTTAGCAACATGGTAAGTATGTATGCCTTCACATAGAAATAACATAAACAGAAAATACTCATTGTATTGCCGTCTCTCAAAAGAAAGGTATTTAGTAGACTTTTAAGAAGAACTCAAATTGAAAGCATAGTCTCCCATTTTATCATTGTCAGATTAAATCAGAACATAACAACGGAAACGAATTAAAACGTGCAAATACCTGAAGGTAAACCACCTGTCTTCGTAGATCGGCTAACTCCACCATAGGGTCATCTGTGTTCGACGATGTTAAGCTGGCCAAGTCCATGTCATCCAGCAGTTTGCTATCTAAGCCACAGGCTGCGAAGAGTTGCCCATTGTCGGTGTCGAATGGGTTGAGAGTATCCGTCTAAATAAAGAAAGGAAATGCCTTTATATATCATTTTAGTTAAATTAATTGTAAATATCTATATATATGTAAACATATTTAAAACAGAAGGGTTCTATAAGTTTTAAGTGGGTGAAGAATAGACGAGTGATAACGAATAGGCTTTCTTTCAATGACAACCCGCAGTGCGGATTTCATTTAATGGCACAAAATGTCGGTCACTATTACATACGTGTGTAATTGTAATGGAAATGTCTATTTATAAATGTGAGGCAAGAAACAAAACGAGCACTCATACATGGAATCTGTCATAAAGTTACATACAAAGTATTTTAAATGCAATATCATATGTATGTACATCAGAATTGTAATGGGATTTTTTCTAAAGCCTAGCTTATAGCTACAAAAAAACTCGGTAGTCGAGCTACATACTTGAGAAAATGGAATCAAGGATTAAAAAAAATTCTCGCAGAGTATCAATGTGGGATTTGACCAAGAAGCTCAACAACAAATCGAGTTTTCGCTATTAAACAGTCCATGGAAAAGTTTTGTGAGCATAATATTCATTTAAAAGTGCTTTTTATTGATTTAAAGCAACCTGGAGCTGCTAATAATAATAAACGATTGGCGCTTGCACATATGTTAGTGTTTGGCCGAGCTTCTCCTCCGATTTGTGGCGTGCGCCTCGATGTTGTGTCCCAAAGTAGGCCCCTACAGTTTTACGCCGACTCCGAACGGCGATTGTATTTTTATGAGAAGCTGTTTTTCATGGCAGAAGTACACTCGGAGGTTTGCCATTGCCTACCGAGGGACGACCGCCGCGGAAAAAACCTTTTTTCCATATATATATTTTTTTGATGTTGCTTTTACCAGGGCTTGAACCCAGACGCAGCGGAGTGGAAGCGCGCATTGCTTACCTCTACATCACAGTGGCCGAGCAGCTAATAGAAGGCAAAAATATAATTCCATTCATCAAAGCACATTAAACAAGATGGCAAGGACTCATAGTAAGGATGAAATCTACGAGAGCACAAAAGAAAGTTGTAGACGCTAAGGCTTTCACAACTAAAGCAAAGGGTATACGACGATCAAGATGGTCGGACGAGCTGGAAAAGGATATGAAAAGTGTGAAGATAAAGAACTGAAGAAGGGCAGTGAACGATCGAGTCCATTGTGCAGCAGGCCGAGGCTCACTAAGAGTTATAGCCGAAAAAAATGATGATGATCATGGTGACCGCCAGTCAATACAAGAGCTCTGGTACTCGATTTCAAAAAATATCGTTTTAAAACTATGGAGTGAAAAGTATCGGTATCGAATGCCAAAATTATCGATTTGGTATCGTATCGTACGAAAATTCGTGTCCCTATGCATACGTTTTTACCAAGTCATATTTTGTGAGTGGTGCTTTTAAAAAAGAATCATCTTTAAAACTACCCAGGCTTAGATTTGAATACGCTCAAAGACTACATACTAACTATAAACATGGATAATTTTTACAGGTGAACATCTGTCACCTCTGAATTTTTTTATTTTTATTTCAAGCAATTTTTTTCTTACATTTTCACAAAAAAGTTCTTCCATAATCGACCTATTTACAATACAAACTCAATGCCATGATACAATAACTTTTAGATGGTAGTTTCACTTCAAAAATTTCTGACATAAACCGTTATTGTTAACAAACGCACAATGTTGCCACTGTAACGATATTGAACTAGGTTTTCATTTATTATTTTATGTACCATGTATTTTATTTTTACTCAGCAATGCACGACCGTTTCGCACAAACAAATTTGCGCTTGAGAACTTAACGGAACACAATATAAACTCAATTTATAATGAAAATTATTTGAAATGTTTTGAAAATTTTCATACTTTCTTTGCTTAATTTTACCAACGGCAAAAAGGTAGATTTTTTTATTTAATAAATTGGTACCACAAAAAATACGAAACACGATCTCTGTCAGATAGCTAACAAGGCGTCTAAAAAGAATAAGAAGAAGAGGATGTGAAACTACCTTCAAAAAGTCATTGCGTCCTGGTCGATATGTCAAGCAAAAGGAGTTTACAGCAAACATTTCGATCAAGCGTACTATGTAACAGGAATTAGTTTATGAACGTACCCTCATCAAATGATCTTCGTCCTTTTGATTTATTCATGAAATGTCAAAAGTGTATGTATGGATTTCGAAAACAAAATGCGGTGCAGAATTTTAAATGAAAATCAGCAGCGTGGTAAAACCAAATAATTTTTTACATGCAAATAGAAAAGACAAAACCAAATTTAATGTTCAAAAAGTTATATCGTTAGCTTAGAGAGCAAAGTTGCAAAGCCCATTTTTTTTATTTTACAGAAGAGGAAAAAACTTCTTATAGCCATTTCCTAGCAAAACTCCACACGAATAAGAAGGATTCGATCCGTATTAAAAGATTTCGTATTATTTCGGATTTTGTCGGTTTTTCGGTGCCTCTTTTGGACTTTAGCAAATTTTTCTTTCATTGAATATAAACGAGAAAAAATAAAACAAGTGCCTTTTGAAGCGATGCATTTTTAATATCCTTGCTTCCTATATATATTAAAATATGAGTTTTCATAAAAAGTGGACCTAGCAAATTTTCACTCTAACCTAGCGATTGATGTTTTATACATATACAAGTGTAATATGAATACAATAATCTTATGTACATACAAAAGGGTAAACAAATTAATAAATTTTGCAATATCACTGACAATAATTCAGTCCAAAAAACTAATCACAAAATACCTGTAGATTTTAGTCACACGTAGAAATAAGAAACGAGCAATTATATTTAAATGAAAAGTTGAAAAATATATACAAAAAAAAAAAAAATAATAATAATACAGTCTAAATTCGGACGTTTCGGATCATTAAATACCCGGGGCACGTATTAAATATAGTTTTTCACCTTCACCTCAAGGTTTTGCTTTTATGTGACAAGTACAATAATTATACCGAGTTTGATACAAATTTATTGAACGGTTACCGAGATACACATATCGAACACCGTTTTCAAAAGAGACATAACTCAAAGTTACCCGTTCGTCAGAAAATGCGAAAAACTATTTCTTAACACATGCTAATCATATGGGCAAGGAAGACTTTACCTTAGGGTTTTTCAACAAATTATAACCAAAATTTACCCAAGTTCTGTGCACATTTTCAGTGCATAACTCCAAAAATGCCAAATTTTGAGTTGTGTCACTTTTTAAGATCGTATGCGATATGAAGTCGGTACCACGCCCGTTTTAAAAAATTGTTTGTTATAAACTTCATTTTTTGCTAAATAGTTATTACAAACATAAATGTTCAATAAATTAGCTTCAGTATACATATACTCATTTATCGAAGATTCGTACTTCCCCAAATAACTGTTTTATTGGATGTGGGCGTGGTTATTGGTCAATTTTAAAAATCTCAGCCATTTGGTGCGTTGTACCAAGGCCAACAACTGCGCTAATTTTGGTAAAAATTGGCGGAGCGGTTACCAAGATATACACATGTAATCATAAGTGTGCGTTGTTACGCCCATTTTCCGCAAACTTATAATATTCTTATTTCTCGCCTAAAAATAATTGTAACTGTTGATTAAGCTTCACTAGTTACTTAAATATCGCAGTTTTCGAATTTCTGAAAGCTACCGTTATATAGGAGGTAGGAGTGGTTATTACCCGTTTTTGCCTATTTTCAATACCATCCGTCCTACGTTCAAAAGAAGCATATGACCAAGTTTCATTAGGATATCTCAATTTTTACTCAAGTTATCATGTGCACAGGCAGAAGGACGGACGGACGGACAGACAGACATGGCTTAATCGATTTCTTTTTTCATCCTGATCATTTATGTATACATTTGTCTATATCTATCTCGATTCGTTTTGGCTGTTACAAACAACCGTTGTGTGAACAAAGTTATAATACTCTTGTGCACAAGTGCGCTCGGGCAAAAAGAGTAAAAATAATCTCGTGCTGATTTAATCGTAGTTGTGTTTGTAACGTATACGACCCGTAGCACCATTACAAGTTTCGTAACATGCTTACTCGCACGCCTTAACAAAAGTCATATTATTTAAAAGTAATTAAATATTGGCTTCGGAGATTTTTACACAGTATATTTTAGAATTAATTTCGACTTTGCCAATAAAAGTTGTAAAAATGGAATTTCAGTTTCTCAAATCATTGTAACACTAGTTTTATTATATTAGACTCGTTCATTTTGGCGAGAAGAATATTTTCACTGTTAAATTTGAATTTTCTGAAGTAACTTCAATTAAATATTAGATTAAAAAAATCATAAAATTTCAAAAATTACAAAATAGCGCCGACAGATATTCTGCATGCTGCCATTTTTTTTTTTATTTGGGTGTTTTATTTGATATCAACGTCCATTGCCTCTAATATGAACATTCTATTTGAAAGCTTCCCAAAGTTATAAAAAAAAATTATGAGTTTTTCGAGTGACAATGAAAAAAAGAGTAATTTTGGTACTTTTTCGCCTAAATAAACATTTTAAGGCTAAAATTGTTCAAATTCTTGATCTATTTTTTATTGTACTTGTTTCTATCTATTGAAGGGCTTACTCTCATAACCGGCATTTACCCTAATGACATTGTGGATAAGAGTAAAAAAAAAAACCAGGCCTATCCCTATTGTGTACAGGCTGGCTGGTTACAGCAGAATCGATAAAACGATATGTCGAATTTTTCTTGTGAGATACGTCGACCACACAATAAAATTTAAATAAATATATGTCAATTGGCCCAAGAAGTAAAAATCTATAGGAAATGCATATCTAATGACAGCAATAAAATATTTCCATCCGGTTCTGGTAAAGACCGACGTACAGTTTCTTGATCTACTATCACAAAGCCTGCTTCTTTCAACAAAATTGACTCGGGTTATAATTGTTCAGCGTCAACTAACTCAAAACTATGCTCGAAACACAAAGCGAATGCACGTACCTAGATGGGTATGCATGAAATAATACCGATAAGCTATCGTCATAAATGTGGAAACAAAAACTCAGTCCAACTCAAAAAAATATGTAAGTGTATTGGGGCGGGTAAATTCTTGCCAAATTGCGAAAATAGGTTTTGAAGAAATTGTGAACATTTTCACTGTTGCACCATCTGGTGGAAGAAAAAGCTCCTTATAGCATGTTTATATATAAAATTTTAGCACTTCTTTATGACACTACACTCTAAAAAGTGCATGCAAATCTACCACTGAAAGTGTATATTTTTCGACTAGAATCTGTGCAAATACATATAAGCATAGGTTGCTCAAGATTTTGTTTTTAACATGAGATTTGTAAAACATCCACGTAAATGTATACATGAAATGTTTAAAATTGCTAAAATTTTAAAATTAAAAATATATTTTGTATTAAGAATCAATAAGCATTAGTTGATCATATTCTGGTATGCAAAAGTAAACAGGCAGTGTTTCTTTTTATCACATGGTGTGAAAATTTGCACACATTGGGAGAGGAAAATGGTTACATCTCTTGTTACGAAAAAATTTAAACAACAATTTTTTAGAGCAAATTAATAAATCAAACATATTTTAAACATTTTATGTGTAAATTGTGAAAATTTGAACGTTGAGTGTTTAGAATTCAACAAACAAATTTGGAATTTGTTCTACGCCACATACATGGCAAGTAAAATTAAACAAGCAGTGTTTAATTTAATTAACACGGTGTGCAAAATTGCATTTAGTAAGGGAGGAAACTGGTTACCTCTCTTAATATGCGCAAATTTAAATAAAATTTTCTTAGAGTCTACACTCCAAAAAAAATTGTGTAGATTTCCTACCTAAAAGGTAGGTTACTGATTTCCTATTATTCGCGAAATACATGCTCGATTATTCAACGAATAGTTTGTTTAAATTTCGGACTTTTTAGAGCGTAATATAGCTGCTGTGGTGTGCGTAAATTTACTACGAAAGTGTGTACATCCGTAGAATGGTGCAAAGCCGCTCACAAAAATGTTTTTACACACGAAAATGTGTAAACGAGAATAGTACATATTCATCGTGTAAATTTACCAAAAAATAAAAAAAATAAACAAAAATATACTCGATTTAAAGGCGCATTTTTAAACAGATTTTTTAGAGTGTACACCAAAATGCTAAGAAATCTATTTTCGCAATTTGGCAACTCGAAATTGATTTCAGACTAATGGTTTATTCAGAAAATTTGCTTAGAATTGCACGTGGAATCCTTCTGTGCTAAACGCACATAGTCGCAAAAATCTCCCATACAAATGTGTATACTGATTTGTTACTTTCTGAGAAAATCTAAAAATGTAGTTTTCATTGTCTCTACTAATCATCCTACGTTCAAATAACTAATGAACAATATAGATGTAGGTTTATTA